TTTAACATATTTTTTGGCTTTTAACACAAACTTTACCGCTCCTTTACGCTTAACGCGCGTTTCCTCGTGTAACGCCATCTAGGGGACTTTACAGTAACTATTTCCTGCCCGATAGTTGTGAAACTGTACGGTAGATGGCGGTAAGCTTCAATACGAAGCGAGAAGTTTCTAATCTCCATTCTCGAAAGTACTAGGCCCGCCTGCTGTCTCATGTAAAAGAGCGCGCGCCATCCAGCCAGTAATGTCATTCCATGAATTTTGGCTACAAAAGCCAATCCCGCAATTGTATCCTGGATTGTGGTGCATCGTTCAACGATTTTTGATAGCATTCCCCCATCATCGTATTTGTGTGAACGTGGATTTAGTGCTGTGGCAAGGTTGCTAACTAAAAAGAGAAATCGGTTGCAAATTACCGAATGCGGTGACTTACGGCTTTTCGAGTAAATTCGGGCCTGATATTAACAAACTTGTTAAAAATTCAAATTGAAATGTTTGTTTCCATAACATGGATAAGTTTTCCTAATATTAGAAAATGGTGTTTTACATTATCCTCATAGGAAAGTCTTATTTTCACATGACACACATAATTTAATTATTGAAATAATGACAGCGATTATGATTCTTAAGATGTAGTAAAGTAAAAAAAATTGGGGGACACTAGAAAATAATTAATTCTCGGTAGACAAAATAAGTTTGAGAACCTTTGGCATAGGCGTACTAATAATTACTTCTGTTAGTTTAGAACGCTATTTTTCGGAAAATGCTCATCAAAAAATGATAAGTCAGGAAACAGAATAAAACGTCAATCAAAATGATGTGCCACTTGACCCCCCTTTCCATTTAAAATTCTATCTCTTCCATCTATCCCTCCTAGGGGGATGAACCACGAGAACTACAGTAAGTCCTTGAAAGTGCCCCCCTTGACAATAAAATTGATCTGTGTTTTCGATACCTCATATTGTTTACCGGAAGGAAGATATTAAAGATGGGAAGTTTTCAAACTGACACCCTGTATATGATCTTTATTCGAAAACAGGGTCGGTAAGATCTAAAAATATTCGAAAAATTCTTAGCCAACACTTACTTTCTGTGTTGTTCATGTTGATCAGGCCTGCCATTTTGGGGTCCATCACAGAGGTCGGCGTACCTCTGGAGGAGTAATTTGAGCACCTCCTTGGGCGAAGAGAAACTTCGGTAAGTAGCCAGGAACACATTGATGTAGGTCGTTTCTAATTCGCCGTCGTCGGTGGAGAGAGCTTCGACTAGTTTCTTGAGAGTACCCGCCTTCACGAATCTCACTCGGACCGTTTCCCATTCTAGGTGGGAAATTTCGTCATCGGAATCCTAGAAATAAAATGGATTTTATATTATTAAAAATTGTAACACAGTGCAGTTCATTCAAATTGAGGAACACATTAATTGATTTTCAAAATAAAAACGAAGCAATTCCACATTTTGGAAACGATCATCGAAAGGTATAATCTATAAATGTGTAACGCAAGGAAAAATAGTTTCAAGCCATCAGTACATTTGCTAACACAATCCCCAGCTTCCTCACAAAAGAGTCACACAGTCGTATTCTGTGACACTTCTCGAAAGCATTCGACTGTTCGACACTTTCGACTCTACTGGATAAACTTCCGTATAGTCTATCCATTCCCAATTGGAACGGCAATAAAAATAAGAGTACAGTCATAAACATTTCTTGCCTGTGGAGCCTAGTCGCCCAGATAGTTAGTAAACGTGCTATCAAATGTAGTTGAGGAATAAAGGCTCGGCTAGCTGGACTGGCTGAATACTAATTTTTTGTCCGTTTCACAATATTTCTTTATCAGTGCCGTGTGTTCGCGGGGTTAGGTGACGTAGTGAGTGGTTTTGCAAACCGATTTTTGAAAACTTTTTCTAGAGATCAGTTTCCCTAACACCAACATTTTTGCACTCGACGCGCGTTTCGCTAACAAGGTTAGCATCTTCAGGAGAAACAAATTGATACTGAATCTAAAGACACGGGTTAGCTGTTTATATACCTAAAGTTTTTTGGTCCGATGTGAATTTTGTTTGTTAAATGATGATTATCCTTATTAACTTTTCGGTAATCAACTAGTGGAACCACTACTTGCAAATTAATTTGTCAACAATAGATTCAAAAGCGGACAAATTAATTTGCAGGTAGTTGTTCCACTAGTTAATTACCGAAAAATCAATTAGGATAATCATCATTTAACAGACAAAGTCCACATCGGACCAAAAAACTTTAGGTATATAAACAGCTAACCCTTGTCTTCAGATTCAGTATCCATTTTCTTCTCCTGAAGATGCTAACCTTGTTAGCGAAACGCGCGTCGAGTGCAAAAATATCAGTTTGGTGTTGGGGTAATTGATCTTTAGAACCTTTGATCTTTTACATCAAAGGTTCCAATCTCATCGTTTAAACCGATTTTTGTGAAAATCTTAGTGTTTTTGGGTACTTTCATCTGTATGGCTTTCTGGAGACCTTTTGAAACAAATGATAACATTACGTGTGAGGAATCTGTGCCAATCGACAGGGATCCGGAATTTGAAAATAATGATATGTCACTCGACCCCACTTTCCATTCAAAATTTTAGGGTTGTTACTCACCCTCGCTAGGAGGTTGACGACACAGGTAGAAAAATACATCTAAAATGTGTCCCCCTCAAAAGCAAAATTGACCTGTCCGAGCATTTTTGCGTTAAGTTACAAAAAAAGGAGAAAAGCAAGGTGCATACTTTTCGTTGGACCACTCTGTATATCCATAAGGTCACAGTCAGAAATGGAAAAGTATTGGGGACACGTGATATTAAAACAGTTTTCAAACCCACCAGGAAGATACACCACAGACTCAGGACGACTCAAGACAAAAGAGATCCACTTTCAGCAGCAGGGGTCTATCGCATACCATGCACTTGTGGGATATACCTCTCGGCAATACCAAAAGATCCATGGAAACAAGGCAGAAAGAGCACCAAAGAAACTGCAGACTAGGCCGCCTATTTTGAGACTAAAGACATATCGTACTATAAAATGGTATCGATAAATTGAATAACCGCTATAATCGCCCTCGAAGGCAACTATATTGAATAATAAAATAAAATTTTATAAAAAATTAATCCCAACTTATATCAAGTAGTCGTCGTTATCCCTGGAAACTGCTTCCTGTAAATGCCTTCGTATTGAACTTCCTCGCAAATAAACATATTTGCCCCCAATTAAAAATTCGGTAGCGTTAATTTCTTGACATATTATTTTAACTACCAGCCCTCGTAGTATATTGACTCCTGAGGCTATTCGCGAGATATTCATAGACCTCATTCTCACTAATTTTGTTCGAGAAGCGAGAGACCGAAAGGAGTTTAGAGAGCTTAGCGAACGTTAATGTTTGAGCAGTTCGTCACATTACCGAGAAACAAACACTTAATTTGAGTTCGTGCCACAGACGGTGTGAATACTGTAGTTTCCACGAAGTATTTCACATGTCTTTATCGCAGAAGTTATCAACAAGTCATAAGTAGGGTAAATGGTTATTAAAGACACCTGGACTGAGTTACTTACGAGGTTTGTTCGAAAGATAAGGTGAATGTTCAAACTTCACGGGCTGCGTACATTCGATTAGCGATTTTTCTATGTTAGTACACTCGACTCGAGCATGTTCACAGTTTCAGCTGTTTAGCATGTTCAGTTTGTTGGTGAGAGGGATAAAAGTTAAAAGTGTTTTTCGTGTTCGCGATTTTCCGCCATCGAAAAAAGTGATTCAAAAAATGTACGTCAGAATTTGTGTCAAAAATGGAATCAAGTGTTCAAAATACTTGAAATGTTGACAGTGGCATACGGTGATTGTACTCCGAGTCGAGAAGATGTGAATGACGACGCTTGCCCTGGACGTTCCATCACATCAACAATATTGAGAAAGTGAAAAAAAATTGTTATGGATAATCGTCGAATCACTATCATAGAAGTTGCTGAGAATATCGGCATATCGGTTGGCTCATGCCAGGAATTTTTGTAGAAATTTTGGGCATGACGCTTGTGGCAGCGAAGTTAATTTCGGAATTCGGAAACCAAAGTCCAACCGTTCCAATAGAAGAGCGCAGAAGAGCCACTACTAAAAAAAAGCACAAGTTCGATCGAATGTCAAGGTCGTACTACCTGTTTTCCTCGATTATCGTGGCGTAACGCATCAGGAGTTCCATTATTTCGAAGATATGCGCTGCTTGCGAGAAGCAATACGTTATCATGCCTCGGCCACCGTATTCGCCAGATTTGGTTCCCCAACGACTATTTCCAGTTCCCAACATTGAAGGGACCCATCAAAAGACGGCGTTTTGCGATGGTTGCCTGTAATTTTTTAGTTTTTCGAACAACATTTTATCTAATAGACGAGAAACCAGCCTTAAATCTTCTAGCAGAGTATTAATTTGCTCATTTTTTTGTGACAGTTCACTGTATTGGTTAATACTTATTTGTAAGCAGTTTTTTTCAAAAAACGTTTAGTTCAAATTACATTAAGTTCATCCAACACTCACATAAAATTAGTCATGATATGAAGTAGTCAAATAACGGAATGCAGCCTTAACGACAGATGTCGAGTTGCTAAAAATATCAATGCAATATGTACAGATTTATTATCGCTTCTCTGAGACACTCTAAAATTTCATTGCTAACCCTGGTCCGTCTGTTTACATTCAATTACGTCAAATATGTCTCTTCGCAGTCGATAACAAAATTTCGTATATAAAACACATGTCGTTAATTACTGTGCGACTTTTCAAGATCAGCACATTTGTTTCTCTGATATTAATGTTGGAATGTTCACTTCTCTATCAAAGTTTTATGCATACATTTTGAAGAACTTGCTTTTATAGTCTCGGCCTTATTAAACGGTTTTATTTAGTTCATCCCGTTTGTTTGTGTCAAATTTAGTAATTAAAGTTTGACCCCTTTCCATTTGACAGAATCTGATATTTGGTATAGTTCAAGTAAACGATATAGTGCCCGCTACCTTCCAGCAGTTCCCTTTTAATAAAATAGTTAGAGAGCTAACTCTTCTTATCAAATTTTGGAAAATTATTTTCACGCCTGATGCTTTGTTTCCCCAAATCTCGATGAGATTGAAAACACTAAAATAGGGAGGAAGTCTCAGTATCCATACTTTTCAGTAATACTCTCAAGGGCATGCACTTTTTCAAATGTTTTTGTCTGTAAAACTTCAAGTAGTTGGTTTTTGGTATAGTTATCTTAAAAATAAAAATTGTTATCCATTATAAAACTTTGTATTTCATCTTTTCTCGAATTTTTATTCGGTAGATACTTTGATGAGCTATCGCGAATGATAGAAATCATTATCAAGAACTATTACACTATTCGCATCCAAATTTTGGATCAAACCATTCCTCGAAAATATTAGCTTCCATGTTCTTATAATAGTCAACATTGCAGTCCTCAAGTTTTTTCCACATAATTTCAATTTCGGAACCCATCCCTTTACTTCCTCCGCAATGCACAATGATTAGTAGCGATCCTTTTGTTTGCAGGCATGTTAGGCGTACACCTTCTCGAACCATCAATCCACCCTTTCGTAACTGTGTCGTGAGTGTCATACCAAGTTTCGTCCAAGTAGAAAATTTGCCGTTGTTCTTGTCTATATTTAGTTATTTGTTCTAAGTATTTGTTATGCAATTCCACTATTCTTTTGCTTTCCATAACTGCTTGAAGTTTGTTTATTATTTTAAATCGAAATCCTAGTTTCTTTTATCCAATTCTGAAGAGTTTTGTCACAGCAATTTACGTTACGGCCGGAAGTATTCAATTTCTTCCTTATGATTTCAATTGTAGGAATTTCATTGCTTTTGTAACAGTCGTATATTTTTTTTAATGATTGTATTAGATGAACATCTAAAGGTTTTGGAAATCCTGCATCAAATCGCGTTTTGCGTTCATAAGATTTATTTTTGACTATTTTAAGTACAGTTGAGAAAGAAATTTCGGCCAAATCTGATGTTGCTTGTAATAGTTTTTTCCCTCGAAACCAAACTTGATATATTTTCGAATTTCAACACTCAAATCGCGATCAGTTCCTGAACTGAACATTGACAACACGACTCTTCTAACCATCCTCAAATTCTATTGGTCACCGTGACATGACTTCAAATTTAACTTTATGACTCCTCAGCTAATCATAAAACTAGGTTTGTAAAAATTATCCAATACGAACCGCCAATTCTTCAGTCCACGTGGACTGGTTCGTAGCGGCATTATTTCTTTGTATTGGTTTTTTTGCCTTTAAGTTCGCCGATAGATTTAAGAATTACTATATCGGTTTCTTCGACTATACACACATTTAGTTGTGGTTACAATACGATTTAATAAATTCTGTATTATTGTAAATCTAAAATGGCCGCAGCTACGAAATGACGAATTACATATTTTTCACAGCTACCTCAATATGGGTATCAAATGACGGGGATTGACTAGTTGAAATGTAGTAAACTTTGAAAAAGATGCAAACTCAAAATGACCGCAGTTTCAAAATGGCGGTTTACATATTTTTTCACAAGTACCTCAATATGGGTAACAAATGATAGAGCTTGACTAGTTGAATGGCAGTACACTTTGAACAGGGTGCAAATTCAAGATGGCCGCAGCTACAAAATGGCGGATTACATATTTTTTCACAAGTACCTCAATATGGGTAACACATGATAGAGCTTGACTAGTTGAATGGCAGTACACTTTGAACAGGGTGCAAATTCAAGATGGCCACAGCTACAAAATGGCGGATTACATATTTTTTCACAACTATCTCGATATGGGTATCAAATGATATGGTTTGACTAGTACTGTAGTAGTACACTATGAACAAGATGCACATTCAATACATCTAAACAAAGAACTTTGTTGACTCAGAATCGGTACGCCCAACGATTTCGTCAGTTTTTAATCGAATCAATACCGTAGATAGCTGAGGAGAGTGGTGTGACGACTGCTACCTAGAACGTTCCGAATTATTTCTAAGTTTTGGTACATTATCTACATCATTATTATCTTTTTTTTTCAATAAAACTGTTCAACATAAAACAATTTTTTTACTTATTTTATTTTCACGAAATTTGGCCCGAGATGATTGAATCAATAGAGATTTTACCAGTGACCACATAACAATATCAGTATAGAGTGTAGGGTTTTTCCTACAACTTGGCGTGTATCTTTTGGTTTTGGCTCATCTGGGTTTTTCCACTGGAACGATTAGATTTTTTTTCGATGTCATAACATAACCATATATTCATGATTCGTCCACCAATTATAAGCCTTTTGAACAAATCTGAGTCGTCGTTGACGTCATTCAACAGTTTCTGGAAGATGTTCATGCAACGGTTTTTTGTTTAAAATTCAGCAATTTCGTTGCCAAACGCTTTATGCTAAAAATTTACGAAAAAAAAAATGCCGATATGCCGGCATCCTCAGCAACTTCATTGGTTTTTAATGTGGTGGTGCGTTCTTATTCACATTGTCTCGACCTTCTGTGAAATGCGTGTACCACTTGTAAACATTTTTCTGACTCAGAGTGCAATCACCGTATGCCACTGTCAAGACTCCAAGTCTTTTTGAGCACTTGATTTAATTTTTCAAACAAAATTTGATGCAAATTCTTTGATACGTTTTATTCGATATTAAGCAGAAAATCATCGAACACGCAAAATATTCAAATGTTATGCCTCTCACCAACAAACTAAACATACCAACATAAAAAAACAATAGAATGTATTCATCTTATTTTTTGAACAGACCTCGTACAATAGCTTGAAAATCTTATGGTAAACTACATCAGTTTATATCAGAGGTAAATTTGGAAACAATTCATTTAGCTTTCACAGAGTAAAAAAAATTATCCGAGACTTTTCAAATCGAGCAGAATTGCCATTTTGAAATCAAAATACAAAGACATTTCTAATCAACTTTACATTTGAATCATCTCGTATGAAAAGAATTTTTAATGTCTCAATTTGACGTTATAAAAAGCAAATAAGATCATCCGTCTTCATTTAAACTTCTCGGAAAATTGATTTTTCTAATGGATCTGACATTTGCCAAACCGTCATCAATTTGATTCATGGGGATGATCATTTCAAATGTCAGGAGGAAATGGAAAATTGAAAAGCGCATTACAAAATGCACTGAATGTTTACCGAACAAGGTAAACATTTCCCATTAAAACATCCTGTTATTAATCGAAAAATATACTTGAATTTTTTGAAATAAAACACACGACTTCGGCCGTCAACAATTCATATCAACACATCAATTAGATAGGAAAGTTCCTGTTTGTCCAACAGAGCGTATTATTTCGGTTAGTGTGGGATACCCACATGATTAGCAAATAGTGGAAATAAGTACTGTAAACAAAAACATTAGTCCATTTTATTCCAGTTGATTATATCTAGTAATCGATTTTCTGCTGTATGTTTTTCCTGCGTACTTATTGCCTTTAGGCATTATTGAAAAATTACAAGGTGTCTCATGTTTATTAAAATTGTGATTACTGAAAACTGTAAATATTTCTTTGCACATAAATATTGTTGTTCCTCGAACCTGACTATTCGCTACACTATTATCAATTCGAACGTCAAACAATACGAATTTTTAGTTGGATATCACAAAGTGACGCTGTTGCTTCGAATTCATTTTTTTCAAGGAACTGATGAATAACCATAGAGTAGATAATAAAACATCGGCAATTGCAATGAACTCATGAATTCTTTATCAATAGAACAATTATTGGATATCTTTGGAAAAGTAGGGTTTTGACTTTCTACTTCTCCATCTTGATAAAAAAAATGTGGCAGTCTTCCAAAGAAAGGAACGTAGCAGTCAATTTCAAAAAATTATCCCTATACAAAGATGTGTAGATCATGCAAAGAAGTAACTTTCAGACACAAACTGGAAGAAAAAGCTCTCCTGAAACAACTACTTTCATACAAACATTGAATTACACGATAGAAACGAATACTTTTATATGAACGCTGAATTATACGTAAAACATTTTTTTCTATTCCGTTCATATTCCAAACATTGATAATTGAATCGAATCAGATATCATTCACAGGAGTTCTACACAACATAATTGATGAAAGAATTAACATTTCATTTACATGGAACACTGTCAACCTCACTGCTAGACATTGCCGTAAGACAGTCGCCTTATCGGCTCTTCCGTAGCAAATACGGATAACATTATAGAGTGAATTTTTTGAATTTGATTGCTTCCTTTCTTTCTTTGGAAAATTTCCGCATTTTTTTGTATCAAAATAGAGAAGTAGAAAGCCAAAAATTGTCTATCCCTTTCAATTTATTGGATATCGGAAAGGGGGTTTTCTGACACATCATTTTGAAGCTCCTGACGAATACTTCACAACTCCAGAATATGAAGTCAATATCTTCATCTACTACAAAATGGCGGAACATTTAATAATTTCTTGGAGACATACACATTAATATCGATATTTCTAGAAATATTCCTTTTTATCTAGTCTAGTTTTTTTGTAACATTTTTCAGCCCTGTCCAAAAATTACGACCGAAATGTCATTCGATTCGTATTTTTGCCTAGAAAGTTTAGGGAAAGGTCCGAAAACGCGCAGATAAAAATATTACAAAAGTTATAAACAATTGAGTGAAAAAAAATGGGGCTTTAGTTTTTTCTTAATATCTCGGAAAATTTTCAAAATTTTCAAAATTTGAAAAAAGATTTGAAAAGATCGATGAATTTGCGTAAAAAGAGTCACGACTCCCGAAACTGTATTTCGATTATTTATAATTTTTACAGAGCCCTGAAAATAGAGCCAAAACCGGATAGTCTGGCTTCCTCACGCCTCTATCTTCCGCGCGCCAGCATCTTCTTTAGCTTGTTTGATTGTTTGTGTCGGCTATAAGCGTACTCTTCAATTCAGTAATGAAACGGGACTTGTTCCTTTCATTAGCTAAAAGCAATTTAGCTTCATATCTATTTCAAAGGTGATTTCAGGAGCAACTTTTTTGGAAACTCTTCTGAATCTTTCATATGATTTGACACTACAAAAATTTTTTTCATAGTCATCAAAAATAATAGACGTTGTGTTGTTGAAATGATTAAAAATATAAGATTTATAATCACTAATAACAATTGCAATTTTTTACCTGCACCAAAATCCTTCAAAAACATTTTTCTAGAGGTGATTTCGAATCGAATGAGCCATCGCTCATATTTTTAGGACCTTTATCTCTATTTTTCATGTTTTTGAACTTGTTGGTTAGACTACTTGTTTTTGGTCAACAGCTCGCGCGGCACCCACATTGAACAGAGCTATGTCATAGTCAAATGCTCATGCAATATAAAGCCACCACGTTCTTTAATATCTTCACAATGTCAGCTAACTCACCCAACTTCACTTTTCGATCATTCAAAACGATTTTGAGGTTTTTATGTTTTTTGGTGCTACTGCCTCATTTGGACGTCCATTGCGTTCTGCACCATTGGTATCTCTAAGATCACGTTTGAAGTAAGCAAACCAATGTTTAATTGTTGTATCTAATGAAGCGGTGTCCTATAACGCTTTCCAATCCATTGCTTTGCTTACACAGTATTTTCCCATCAAAAAGCAGTGCAAAATTAAAACAAGAAATTGTTTTTGATCCACTGTTTCGAAAATAACAAAAGTAATGTCATTCTTAGCACAATAACTCACAAACTTATGAAATTTCAATAATTTTCTTATGAAGGGTAGTACTAACTGAAAAAGCTGTGAATGCAATTAGAGGAGCGCCATCTATGTGTTAGGCCCGATACTTTTCAGCCCATGTAGTACATTGCTCTAAAATTACCTTAGAAAAATGTACTTATTAAAATACGGTAGAAAAAACTCCTGAAAAAAAATAGAGTACTAAAAAAATATTATTTCCAACGGTTTTGTTGGGTTTTTTCTTGAAGCGGGTACAAAGTTACAGCAAGAAAACCGTTTCTGTCACTTTCTTTCAGTTTAGGAACCGAATCGATAGTTGCGAGAGTGAGAAAATTATTTTTAGTGAAAGCTACTTCAAATGAAAAATGCAAAATAGCCCACCAAATCACTGAGAATAACAGACAAAACTTGTGTGGGAAATCAGATCACTAATAATTACTACCGAAATCTTAAATAATGTTCGAATATTTCCACAACCACAACCAACATCTTCGATCGCATACAACTAAGCTAATTCTGCATACAAACTAGCAAACTGGAAATCGTTCAACAAATAAATAACCACTCTCGCTCATTCGGTTCAACATTTTCAAGAAAAAAACTTACCGAGTGGGAAGACGACAGACTCCTAGTAGGCCGGTGGTAACGAACTTTCTTGAGGTAGACGGTATAGAGGGCGCCATCCGCTTTCTCCTCGCCCCACAATCGCCAGGTGGGCTGCTGGAAAAAAATAAACAGATTGTAGAAGATTCATCAACAGTTACACCTTCTGTATAATGAATAATGATCGTTCAAATAATGACCAATCAAAAATGGCAGGTGCTCGGTTAGTTGTTTATCGGTCATCTCCGCTGGAGAGAAGAAGGATCGTTGATTTATTAAATTTCAACGGGAATTAAATGATCCATCTCAAAATGACACCGCGTTTACAAATAATAAAATTTATTCAAAACACCAACAAAATGACAAACAGAAAAATAACAGTGTAACCTCATAGGGAGGAGAATGAGAAATAGCATTAGTTCCCGGTCGAAATCCCAGAATAGTGGTGAGGAATCAACACTGGCAATTATTGACGACGTCATAAATATATTCACAAAAGATCAACCACTTGGGCCCTTGTCTTAATACACGTAAATCCTGAAAATGAGTACCTACTCGAAACATCCCAAGTGGCGCTTGTCGTTCTAAATATCCATACAGAGTGGTCAAAACGAAAAGTATGCACCTTGCTTTTCTCCTTTTTTTGTAACTCAACTTGAGGGGGACACATTTTAGATGTATTTTTTTACCTGTGCCTTCAACCCCCTAGCGAGGGTGAGTAACAACCCTAGAATTTTAAATAGAAAGTGGGGTTGAGTGATATATCATTTGAAAGGACACAAAATTATCTTTCTAATGATACCTAATTTGTTGTATTTCACTCAAACATGTAGGTATTATGAAGAAAAACAACTACAACCCAGTACTTTGAAATGTGTTAAGTTTAACAATTTCAACTCGTTCAGGAATAGAATAAACCATTTTTATAGTAAAGTCGAAATAATTTCAAAAGCAACCGAACTGAATCAATGAACATTTGCCTGAATTCTTTTTGTACACTTATCTGCTGTTGTTATTTGAACCAAAAAACGCACGAGAGAAATTGAGGAATGTAGTATTGATAAAAATGCCGTTTTTTCCGCATTTTCATTAACACCAAAAATATCGAGTAAATGTTCTTGCTTTTTTTATAACTATTCAAGTAAATACAACAAATCAGGTATCATTGGAGAGAGAATTTTGTGCCCTTTCAAATGATATATCACTCGACCCCACTCTCCATTTAAAATTTTAGGGTTGTTACTCACCCTCGTCAGGGGGTTGAAGGCACAGGTAGAAAAATACATCTAAAATGTGTCCCCCTCAAAAGCAAAATTGACCTGTCCGAGCATTTTTGCGTTAAGTTACAAAAAAAGGAGAAAAGCAAGGTGCATACTTTTCGTTGGACCACTCTATATGTTTTTCGGCAATACATTTCCGGTTCGTGAGATGAGAGGCTTTCAATGATATGCGATGAAAAAAATACAAAAAATCTGAGCAAAAATTAAAATAAAAGAATTAACATAAAAAACTCAAGAAGATGGATATTTTGTACGACTACTCGACAACAGAGTTATGAAAAGTTAATTTCCTAACAAGAATTTATAATACAAACATCACAGGCGTTTTTCTCGTTTTCGGAAAATATTTCGCATGTTCATAAAGTAAAATGTTATTTTTAGCCCATTAAAATATTCTTTCAATTCGTTAATTGTCGCTAGCTTTTAAAAACCACTCATTTCAAATATTTCCATAGAGTAAAGATGCCTCAAGTCTGGTGATCTAAGTGGCCACTCCAAGGTCCCCGTCTGCCAAATTCATTGGTTTGGTTAAGGATGCCTAGCAGGCATCGTAAGAAGGTGCATTGCCTTACTGAAAACTAAACGAATTTTCAGCAAGAGCGATATGTCCACTTATCTTCAATTTATAGCCTAGCTCAGTACCTGTTTCTAGATTCTAGCATTTAGATGACAAAGGTACCATTCGACTTCTCATTTCGACTTCTCTAAAAGTTAGGATGTTTTTAATACACTAACAAAAATATATTACTCTCGTTCCACAATGAGAACAGTCTTGAAAGTTGTTTGATTCTTCGAGTTGTCTTCAACTATAATTAAATTCCAAATTGTGAGCTATGTATCATTGAGCAGAAAGATGATATATAGGATTTTGATCCTGATAGATGAGACAATTTTATATTTTGAAAAAAGATTCAGCATTCATTCAAAGTTGTTTAGTTGAACAATATAATATATTTATTATCTTTCTATTACTTCCATGACACACATTTATGATTTATCTTTGATGATGAATGATATATTTATAGAGATGTGTCACTCTAGGTTTTATACTGTGTTCAACGTAGTAACAATAATAATAATTTATTTTCCATTAGACAATACAAAAATTGTATAATTGTCGTCGTAAGACCACATTAAAAATCAAAAGGGAAATACCTTATACAGTGCATTTTTTTAAATGTCCCCCCCTTTTATTTTTTGAACGGGTCAACTTGAGAACTTGAAATTTGGCATAATGAAATTAATGCATGAATACTTTATTTTGAAGTGAAATTGACAGATGAAACTCTCAAGATGGCGACTGGGCGCCATCTGGGAACAAAAAATTAAATGGAAAGGGGGTCATTTTCATTTCTATGTAAAACCAACCTCTAAAGCTAGTTCGATGAAATCTTTTTTTTTTTCAAAGGTATTGTTGAATTCAATCTACTTCCTCGTGAAATCAAAGAATCTTCGTCCATAAAATTGATTGAAACAAAATTGAAAGAATATGTGACAAACTGAACATTATAAATGTGTATGTGTAT